CTCCCACGACGGCGCCCGGGGCCGGAGGGGGCCGCCGCTGTGCTCGCGCCGACGCTCGCGGGGAAGGGCCGCCGTGCGCCGCCGTCCGCCCGACGGCGCCCGTTGCGGGAGGAGGCAAAAACGTCGTCCCGAGACGTCCTCGTCCTCGTCCTCGTCGTCGTCGTCGTCCTGTCCTGTCCTCCTCCTCCTCCTCCTCCTCCTCCCCTCCTCCTCCTCCTTCCTCCTCCCTCTCCTCCTCCTCCTCCTCCTCCTCCCCCTCCCCCTCCCCCCCTCCTCCTCCTCCTCCTCCTCCTCCTCCTCCTCCTCCTCCTCCTCCTCCTCTAGACACCAGGCCTCCTCTTCCTCCTCCGCGGGGGCTGCAGCAAGGCCTGGCTCGGGACACTTCGCCACTGCTGGTGTTCGTATTCTGTCCGGTGGAGGTCGTGAACGGGGAAGGTAGATTCAGGCCCTCCGAGAGAGCAACACATCACAGCAAACGCATATCGACACCTGAAGTAGGAAGGCGCTTGAAGTAGATTGGGATCTGGGAATCCAAAAATACTTACCTTCAGCGACCTGCGTGTAAGCTTTCGGAGATCGTGGCGGATTTCTCAGATCTTCGCTGGATGCCCCTCTCTGGCGCGCGGAACACGCCACGGGCGACGCCTTAAGCGCCGCCAGGGGGGTCCAGCGCAGATCCAAGAAATCCATGCGGAGCTCCAGGAATGTAATTATGCTCATGCCGATGTGTGTCTTCAATTGCGGCCTTAAGGCGGGAGGGTTGAGGACGCGTTCCCATGGGGTAGTATCCAACAACAACGCCTGCCGAGACGCTTCCGGGGCTCAATGGACCCCGGAAACGACAAGGCCGTGTTTAGACCGTTTTCAAAGAAAAATCTCTTGGAAATAGAAACAATAAAAAACAACTACAATAACAATACGGCTTCTGGATTGGAACCGGAACCAACACTGGACACACAACGGCGACGGAACCGGCAACAACAACGGCGCCGGAAGCGGCAGCAAAACGGAAACTGGTGGACAAATGGCCCTGCTCTGTCGTTCCCAGGGCCCGAAAAACTCTGGCCTCATGGAAGCCTCTTGGTGGGGTGGCGACGGTAGGCGACGGCGTCAACAGGCGGACGCATGCCGACGGCGGCGGAGGACGGACGACAACAACGGTGACGACGAGGGCGAGGTCAACGCCGGGTCTCAGGCGGACGTCCGGAACGATCCAAGCGCACCCTGGAACTCAATGGGCCCTGGAAAAGACATGGCCGTTTTTGTTACTGGCTCCGTTTTGCCGTTCTTGTTGCCAATTCTGGCGCCGTTTCTTTGACGGTTCCATTGACGTTGTTGTTCCGTTTCTGGCTCAGGTTCCAATCCGGGAGCCGTTTTTGTTGCCATTTCTGGTCAGTGTTGTTAGAACTGCACGGCGAAAACATCTGCCCTGCCGTTACCCAGGCCAACTGAGTGGCAGAGGCTCCCTCAGAGGCATCCAAGGGGCAACCATGCTTGCGACCAAGCCAGATTGGTGGCATGTGCCGAAGGCCACAATATGGTCGAACGCCCTCCGCACGACGCGAGGAGTCAGGAACCCCTACTGCTCGAACAATCGCTAGTTGGAAGCGCACAGTGGTGAACATCATCCTAAATTTCAGTATAACGTGCAAGTGCAGCTGGCGGCAAAAGCCATGAGCTCAAAACTCGATCTTCGTTTAAGCTGAAGATGCAGCTCGAGGAAAGAGCAACAACCAAACAAATCAGCCGACCCCTTAGGAGGTGCAACAATGACGTCACACGTCTTACCATGTACATCGTTCAAGCTGGTAGTATCGGCGTTGACGAAACCTCGCGCGGATTTCGATCACTAACAATATTCCTCATGTGTCTGCGCCACTCGGAAGAACGTGGGGATGAGCAGCAGCAGCGGCAGGAAGAGGAGGAATAGGAAGAGAGGAAAGGAATATGGGGGAAATTGGAGGAATACGTGAAGACGTGAAGACGCGAACGCCTTGTCCTTGACCCCTTAAGACCTCCGGCGGGGCGGTTGGAGGCGCGTGTGATATTATATACATGTGTATTCATACATTTATACACACCTGAAAACTTAAAAACGTCTTCAGGTATTCCCGTCTTCACGTGGTCGTCCCGACGACCAAATCGTCACGTCTTCCCGTCCCCGCGCCGTCGAGCCCCGACCTCTGGTCGTCTTACGTCTTCGCCCCACCTCGCTGGCCCCAGGCCTGGATGACGACGTACTCACCTTTTCACGCATTCACGCCGCCACGTCTTCGGCAGAGTGGTTCAACAAAGACCCAACAGGGGAGGAGGAGGAGGAGGACGTCTCTCTCGGAACGTCTCTTGAGGTGGGGGGGGCGCCCGTGGCGCCCCCCCACCTGGGGAGGAGGAGGAGGAGGAGGAGAAGGAGGAAGAGAAGGGCGCTCTGCGACTTGCGGAACATGCGGAGAAATCTCACTGCGTCGTGCCTGAGGCCTCCGCCGGCTGTGCGGTACGACCCGGGCAGCCCTGGGTCGCTCAGAGACGCGCCCAGCCGGCGCATCCCTCGCGCACAAGTCGTGCCCGTGTGGCGACCCACAGAAGCTCCCAGCGGCAGGGTTCGCATGGCTTACCAGCCTCGAACGTATCCTTTTCCCTAAGATTGACACGCCAAAAGGCGATGACAATCTTAGGGATGCGCCCTCAAAAAATGAGGGAATCCCTAAGATTGGCGTCGTGATGAGGAGGTGCCCAGCATAGGGATAGGGATATGTTCCAGGCTGGTAACGTGTGGCGATCCACCGAAGCTCCCAGCGGCAGGGTTCGCATGGCGTCGCCCCGATCATCTCGGAGCACCCTTCAGACGTTCAGCTGCCACATGGGAAGCTCCACCGACGGCCCCAATGGCAACACCCGCATGGCGTCGCCCTGTCCGCCCCTCACGTGCATCAGGGCCCCACGTGGAGCTCCACGGAGAGCCCCAGTGGCAGCGTCTGCACACCGCCGCCCTGCCCAAGTGTTGTGTCGGCACACCCCTCGCGTGCCTCGCGACCCTCGCGGCACGGCCCAGACGCCGCCGCCCAGCCCATCGCTGCACGCCCCGGCGAACGCTTCGCGCCCCCATAACTACGGGGGTCCCTTCCTTGAGTACGCCCCTTGCGCGCTTCGTGGTTCCATAGGCAACTCCACCCCGCTCGTCCATTTGAGGCGGTGCCACGGAGGAAAGGGTCGCCTGCATCGCTTACATACCAAGCAATCGGCACGTTGACGCCAGACGCTGGGAGGCCACACTCTAACAATTGCAGCGGGGCGGCGGAGGACGAGACGATACTTCATTCAGAAGTGGATGAAACGGAAGGAAAACAGGGGGGGTCCTCATGTACCTCCCTCCCCTCACAATCTCTCTTGTTTCTCTTCCTCCGCATCATCATCATCATTTTTCTTCCCCTCCTCCTCCGCCTCATATTTCGTATCCTCGCCGTGATCGTCTTGAACCACAACAGTTGTCCTGTTTCCTCTTTCTGCGTCCTGACCCTGTTCCCCCAGTGTTCCTTCCCCCTCCTCACGATGTGTTTTCCTTAATGTTGTTCCTCCTCTTGTTCCTCCTTCTCCTCCTCCTCCTCCTCCTCCTCATCATCATCCTCTTCCCCTCATCCTGCTCCGTCTTCGTTCCTCGTCGTCACCCTTCCCCCCCCGCCTTGTCTCCCCTCCTCCCTTACCACCTTGTGCGCGCCCGCCTAAACATGGCATGGCACTGCCGTGTGACATAACCAACCCATTGGCACCAAATGTCGGAAGCAGCTGGCCCAGAATTGCATGGATAACAGCGGCAGTTCGAGCGCCATCAGCTGCTGAGCGATCTGCATGGTAAGCGCGCGCTTTGAACGAGTCTCTGGGCAGCAGCACAGTGAACAAGGACGAGGAGTGACATCCCGGGCTCGACAAGGAACTGCTGGCGGGGACGAGGGGCAAGAAACGCGCGGCCGAAAAGTCAGCGCGGCAGAAGCAGAGAGAGAGAGACGGTGGAAACAGTAAGCAGACGACAACGAACGTGCCGCAAGGAGAACAACAACCTTCGTCCTCGGGCCGTGCGTTGAACACTGAAGGGGCCCCAGGACACACAAAACAAAGACACACAAATCAGAAGTATGCCCCATCTTTTCCAATATGTTCGGGGCTTCTGTCTTCCCCCCCACTTCCCATAGGTTCCCATATATGCTCTGGGGAATCGACGATGAAGTGTGTGTCTGTGTGCTTCTCTTCCTCCCGAGTAGCATGCGGCGCGGCCCTGGCAGTGTCGCGCGGCGGCGCTCCACGACAACAGCACGTCGCTCCAGCGCTTGGCACAAAGCGAGCAGGCTGGGACCCGTGCGCCCGCCCGCTTCTCCGCCCCCCTCCCTCGCCATCGCCTCGTGTATTCTTCGATGTCGTGCGTGTTTTTTGTTCGCTCAATGCTCAAGGATGGTCCTCGATGGCCGTCGCCGAGAAAAACATGCACACATCCGAGCGATGCCAAGCTCCTGCAGCCTCCCGCGCGAGGGCGACTCGACTCGCGCGCAGGCGCGCCGCGGCGCGAGCGGGCGGCCCGCGGCCCGTGGGCGCGCGCCATCGGCGACTTGTCTGAAGTCGGGCCTGTCCCCCTACAAGGGGGATGTTCGACGAATAATAAAAAATACCCCACAAAATATTCAAACAATAATCAAAAAATTAGCCAGGGGACAATTGTTTGAGCATGTGTTGTCCTTCTTGGGGTATTTGTGGGGTACTTTTTTATTCTTCGTCGACAATCCCCCCTGTAGGGGACACGCCCGACATAAGACTTGTCACACGTGGTCGCCCTGGACAAGAGAACGTGCTTGAGCCCGGCATCGGCAATGATTCCGCAGTGCGTGGTCTGGCCCTGGCAGGCCCTGGACGCCAAGGCCTCGGTGTGGGTCTGCGCAGAACGTCCCCCGCCGGACTTCGCCGCAGCCCTCGAAGGCGGCGGCAAGTTTGCAGCTCGCAGCCCCCAAGGGATGTCG